GCTCTCAAATCTTATCATCTCATGACCTCCCTAGGCATTAACATGCCCACTTGCATCTCCAGATAAGCTCTTAATGGCATGATCAAATTTAGATGACACTTTACAACTGTTAATCTGCTCCCATTCTTGTCCCTCTAAAATCCATTCTTTGCACAGTGACCAAAATAGGCTTTCTGAAATGCAAATCTGATGATGTCACTCCCCTTTGTAAAATCTTCAACGATTTCCCATCCATCTTAGCATCAGGCCCAGAATCCAAACTCAGACCTATCGGGCTGCTCCCCGAATAAGCTGCCACTGCCCCATCTTTGTCTGGCACATGCCTGCTCAATTTCAGGTCTCAATTTACATGTCATTTTCTTAGGAGGACCTTCCCTGACCTTTTGTCCAGATTTAGTACCTGACTTTAAGCTCTCCTAACTCCTCTATTTCCTCTTCAGAGCACTGACCACAACCGTAATTATTTATATATTCAGGTACAATCTGTTCAGTTTGCTTGATGTGCGCCTACCAGGCAGGGACATCAAGAAGCACATTAACCACATCTAGCAGGGGGTCCTCTGGTCCGTAAGACATGCTCACTAAATGATTGAAGAAGGAGCCTCTGTGCCGCACATTTTTACCTTTTATGTTATAAAGCATGTTACTCTCCAATTTGAAGGGCCATTCACTGAGATTTTACGATGTGACAGGAAGTGTTTGTTTAGAGGGCAGGGCAAGTTAGAATTGGGGTTCTAGGCCAGAATTCCCTGAGTTTGAAATCTTACTCATCATGTGATGTTGGGGAAGTAGGAGAACTTCTCCATGGCTGTTTCTTCATCTAAAAAAAAATACAAGGGAAAAGACAATAAGAGCACCTACTTCATAGGGCAGTGTGATGACTGAGTTATGACATGTAGCATGTTTAGAACGGTGCCTGGCACTTGGTAAGTATGTGAAAGACGTTAACTATTCCTCTTCTTTACTCCTAATACTATGAAAAGTAGGTATTATGTTATTATCCCCCTTTGTCAAATGAGGAAACAGAAGCATAAAAAAGACTTTCTTCAATAACTTGTTTCAATAAATCCTTCATATCATTTTTGCAATCTGGAAAAAAAAACTAAAAAGGAAGAAAGAAATGAATGTTCTCACATTTTGAGAGTTGAGACTTGGAGGATGTTGGGGCTTGGCAAGACAAAGAGAATAAAACAAAAATACAAGGCAAGTGTGAAGGCGGTTTCATGCCCAGGACTAGGCCCTCTCTTCTACACACTGATATGATGAAACTTAGCATGTCCATGAGAAGCCGAGAGGGGAAGAATGGATCCACTTTCCACAGAATGTGGAAGGGAGATGGGGAGTAAATGGAGCCTGACTCAGAGCAGCATCTCCTGGCTGCAGGAGGAAGTCAGAACTCTGGCTCCCAAGTCCTTCCAAAGCTGCTCAGGAACTCTGCCAGTATCTCCAAGGGCATCACATCCCCAAACTGAATCCATCTGAATTTAAAAAAAAAAAATCTATGCCATGCATCTCATGTGAGAGGAAGCAAATGTCAAAAAACAAAAACAAACAAACAAAACAAAACAAAATCAAACAAAAATGCTGTGAATAACTTATGGACAATTGTCTGGAGAGAGGTGATTCCTCTATCAGACTTTTTAAAAGACATCTGGCAGGGACAGGAATTCCTGGCAGCCCACTTATAATGGTCCCAAACTAGAAACAACCCAAATGTCCATCTGCAATAGAGTAGATATATAAATTGTAGTATTGCCACAAAATAAAATACTCTCTAGAAACATGAATGAATGAATCACACCTGCACTCTACAATAGGGGTGAATCTCACAAATACTGGGGTAATGAAACCCAAAACAAAAACTACAATCTGATATCATCTGTTATATAAATTCAAAACCAGGTAATTCACATCTATATCAGGTATGAGATGTCATGATCATGTGACCCCTGAGGGGAGGTAGTGGTTGGAGTGCCCCAGTTGGGGTGGGGGGGTCTTCCGTTTCTGTTACTCAGATGTGTTCATTTTGTGAAAGTTCACTGACATACACTTATTTTTTGTGTACTATTCTGACCATATGTTGTATTTCAGCCCACCCTTCACTTCCTCACCCTCCAAGATTGGGGACAAGTTAGTTCTGGGGTCAATAGATAGCCCCAGAGTTCTGGATAATCAGAAGCTGGAGAAGTACCAAAGAGAATGCTTCTGAACTGGGAATCCATTTTGCTTAGAGCTCATATTTCTGTCGTGCTGGTCCTGAGTCTTGAGTCACTTCTTTGGCCTCACTGAATCTTACATCTCAGGTTTTCTTCTTGTCCTCCGATTCAGTCATAGGGTCTCGCAGTCCTGTTTATACTCAAACAATCTCCACAATATCTAGTGCCATGTGGGGCTTACCTGAGAGGTGAATGGCTGAGCCATATTCCATTTCTACACACGTGTTTCCTCAGTTGTCTGTGGTACACACATCCATTCCCTTCACTTTCAGTCAAAACCCGAAGAAGCCATGAGACAGCGGGGCAGCAAGCTTCACCAGCTTGAGGGACCACAGGGATCTCTCCCGTGAAACCTAATGGGAGGGATTCAGGAATTTCAGCTTCTAGACACATGGTGGGTGATGTTCCAAGCATCACAGGATGACTCCTCATGTGACTGGCAGGGCCGGGAAGGAGGGAGAAGCCTTTCCTGTGAGCCTCACAGGCTGGGTTACAACAAGATACATGAGTGGAACGGCTTGGCACAGGCAACATCGAGAATTCTTTTTCAGAAACGGTGGCGGGCAGATTCAGACCTACGCTGCTTCACGGTTCTTTGAAAACATGAGAAACGGCCTTCCAGGTTTTCCAGAGGTGCCGTGGCCAGATCCCGACTGGACGCCGGGCCGTTACATCAAAGCCACAAGGCTCGGATGGCACATGGCCCTGGCCAGGCCAGCCTGTCTTTGGGCGGGTCAGCTGGCTTGCAGAAAACAACAGGCCTCAACGTGACAGTTCCCACATTCTGCAGACTTAAAAGGGAAATCCTCTGGCCTCTGACTGGGCTCCTGGGGCTCAGCCCTGGCCTTGCCTGAGGCTGCAGGAGGAAGAACAATAAGGAAAGGGGGCCTGTTGCTGTCACTGGCTCTTCAGGTGATCAGAGACATCTTCAGTCCTGCCAGAGTTCTGTAGCCTGAGCTTCCTTGTTCCTCCATGTCCCCTCACTGCCTCTGCTGACTGATGCCACAGAAACCTAGCCCAGCCTCTGCCTACCTCTCCCCACTCACCCTCACCTCACCCCCTTCTACTTCCACTTTCTATTGCACATCCCGGCAGAGGGCTTCCTGACCCTCACAAGCACCCAACGTTTGCCCCAATACTGCTACTCCTTTAAAAAAAAATCCGTACCTATCCTTCTCTGCTCCATTCTCTCCTGCTCTTCTTTTGCTTTCTTAGATTCTCATTGTGATTTCCCTTCCCATTTCTACAAAGGCAGGGTACAGAGGAAGGCCAGCAGGGGGCCAAGGGCCCTATGGCTGACTCTGGAGACAGATGAGTGTTTTGGGTTTTGCCACTGATGTGTGTGACCTCGGGCAAGTGGGACAGACTCTTCTCTTTGGGTGTGAGTTTTCTCATGTGTCCATGGGGTTGGGGGGCCCTTGCCAGAAATCTGTATGTTGTGCCAGAAGGGTTGCCATGGGGAATGCAAGGAAGAAGACTCTGTTCTGGCTCTTACAAACATACTGAGTAACAGTCTCTTCATGTTCTCTTTGATATACACACACATATTCAGTTAGATGGATGGATGGATGGATGGATAGACAGATAAGTTAATGGGGGAAGAAAACTGTGGGGATAAAACAGTAACCTTATTCACCACTGAACCCAATAAAAGTCTTTCAGAGGGACTGAATCAGAATCTCTCCTTCCCTGAATTCATTTTAATTGCTCCTTGTGATCAGGTGTGACTCTCCACCCCATTTTTTCACAACTGAGTGAAATAAGGAAGTACCTTAAAGCTGGTTTTTCTTCTGCTACCACAAAGGTCCACATAACTGCTGGTTCCTGTTTGTGGTAAAATGGTCTTAACCAGATGAATGAAAGGCACAAGATCCACAACACAATCAGAGCACAATTACTCCAAACAGAGCTCATGCTGACCCACTGAACTGCCAAGCACCTCTCACTTGTTAAAGGATATTCCCTCCATGTCTTTGCTCCTTCTAGTCAGCCTCCCCCTCCCTTTCCAACAACTAGCTGACTTATCTAAGACCTATGCTGCTTCACCGTATTTTGTGAAACAAATGAGAAATCGCCTTTCAGTTTTTCCAGAGGTGACTAAATCCAACATGAGCCAACTATGTCCAATGGCAGTGTTGGCAAGTGGCTTCTTTTTTTTTTTCTTTTTTGAAAATATCAGCAAAGATGGAAGCTTGACTTGGTGTTGGCTGCAGAGAGCTCAGGGACCAGTGCATAAATCTGCTTTGTTCCTGGAAGAACTCTAAGGATCTAGAGTCAGGCTACAAAATTGCTGCAACGCTGGTGTTTCAAAGAGCCCAAGAAGAGTCAAATGTCCTGGCTGACCAGCACCCTGCCCAGCCTCATATGCTGCAGGTTTGCCTCGGTTAGCACAACAGAGCAACCATTCCTTTGCTCAGAGGCAACATGAAATGATTTGTTCCCTTTTGGCTGTGTCAGTTCGGCAAACCAGATACCAGAGGCTATAAGCTCAGGAGAGCCTGCCTTTCTGGAACACCATTTGTTTGGACAGGACAGGCCAGTAAGGCTTTTCATCTCTTTAAGCCTCTTGGGGTGGGGGTGGGGGGAGAGCATATTTGAGGAATTCCTTTTTTCAAAGATTTTTTTTTTTGCTCCTTCCAACATTTTGTTTAAGAGAAAATGAGATGTCTATCTTCTGTTTCCTTATTTTTTTTCAGGAAAGCAAAGGGTTGTTGACTTCCTCCCTCTCCCCTCCCTTCCTTCCTTCTTCCCGAAGGTACTCATCTGAGAAAAAGAGAACGAAGTATTGTTCCTGTTCTCTTTCTTAAGTCATTTGAAACATTGTCCCTGCGAGTTCTTTAAGTTCCCTGCAATCTGTACACAAGAGAAGGAGGGAGAGAGAGAGGGAGAGAGACAGAGAGAGCAAGGGATCAGGTAAAGCACTGGGGCTGCTGCAGCCATTCAGACTCAGGAGCTGGTAAGTTACCCATGCAATCATTTCTACTTCCATTTCAATGTCCCTGGGATGGATACTGCCGTCGGCACCTCCAGCAGAACATACCTTGCTGTGTATAATCCTAAATCAAAGGGTATGACTGATGGATGGCCCAGGATTTAAGCTTATACTTTTTTTTTTTTTAAGAGAATACTGATGCTTTGCAGAGCTATGGCTGGCCGAACTAGAAATAAAATTGCACTGGGGCTAAGGAGGACAGTGTGTTAAATGTGATTTTTGGTACAGATAGTGTGGCTGGGTTAGCCAGGAGCCACTGGAGTGTGTGATGTGTCTTACTGGAGGATTCAGTCTTCCTCAGTGCTATGTCCTGGGAAACTCAGGAGGGTGTCTGCTAAGAACTGTGGTTTGCTCTAGGGCTTTTGTTACTTGTTGTCTAGATTGAGGGTGGCCTTCTCTTGTTCTTTTCTTTCCATTCAAGACCGCCCCACCCCAAAAAAGAATGTTAAGTTATAACTGTTATTCTGCATCACTGAGGCTGGAGGAAAAAGAAAAGACTGTCACTTTGAATTGTACTGCATGCTTATGTGTTCTGTTTTCACATGTGGATTGAGTGTAAATTTATCATCCACTGTCAATGGAAGGTGTTATGTGCCACACGAAAGAAGGCAAAGATTTTGGGGCATATAGCTTTAGTTTTGGAAAACAACATGTGGCTAGAATAGGATTAAGATTGATCTCTTCTCAGAGTAGGAGCGAAAAACTAAGCTACAGACGCAATTGAAAAATACTCACCCAGCACCTGATTTTCCAAGCACCAAATAGAACAGAGCAAAGTGGTCAAGCTTATACAGACAGCTAGTTTTTAAAAGTCTAACTTGCTTCATTTAAACTTGTCAGAAAGGATAATTTTACCAAGAACTCATCATGGCAAGCCACGAGGGAGCCAAGAGCACATTGTCAAAAATAGGCCAGCAAGGTCTCTCGGAAAGACTATGTATAATTACTAATATTAGCCATTTAATTCAGAGAGGTGTTGAGTGGGTGAAAGACAAAGATCATGCAGTTTTTAAAAAATATTCATTTCTATAAAACTTAGGGAATGAAGTAACTTAGGAAGTGAAGAGTATAATAAAAACAACCAGTCTCTCATTTATAAATTAATTTGGCCAGACTGAGTATGAACCAATCAAGTAATTAATCTTTACTCAAAACTGAGCCATCATCTTAATAAGACTGAGAAAGTATGCTGCCACTAGGCTGCAATGTACATTTTGTTCCATTAGTCAGATTTCTTTTTTCCTTTCCTTTTTTCAAGAGGCTTTCCTTACGAGCACTGTAAAATGAGCAATGTAAGAAAGGCGTGATTAGTGTTTGCCTGCTTGAGGATGCAAAATTATTCTAATAACACTTGAAAGGGGCTTCCAGCCACCCCATTTCATAGATCTTCAGGTAAAAAGGTATCCAGGACTGACTGACTTGGGCATTTTGTATCTTTTATCAGCAACTGTGACCCCAGTAGAAAACTCTGGGTTGCGATCTTGACTTGCTTCTTTCGGTTTCATTTTTTCTTGACAACATATTTAATTTTGTGCTTAATTAAAACAACATCATAGAATGCTCTGTAGTTTGGGTTATTGAATAAAAGCATCAGATGCAATACAGTATGACAAAAAATGACAGCAGAGTCACAGTGTCTAAAGACAAGTAAGGCAAAAGGTGGGTATGATGTTAATGGTGCAGAAAACAGCCACACTTTTAACATGCGTCTTCACTGTGGGCCCAAGATTAAGCTCAGGATATGTTCTCTTCTTTAGAAGAAAAAAATACATGTTATTTCCATTTAAGTTGTTAAGCCATTGCAATGAGAATATTTGTTTGATTCTGGGGGGAAATATTCAGCGACCTAAAGAGAAAAGCCACTGACTCATTTAGTGTATTTGCTACCAATCTGTCTCCACTCAACTCCAAGGAGTTGGCATTTGTGGAAACTTCCACCGTGTGATTCTTCTTTGGGGTCATCAGAGGCTCTTTTGTGATATCATCAGGGGAACTCCAGCTTGGAATGATTCAGAATTTGGTGCAAAGAAGATTTTGTTAATTAATTTGGGTCAACACTGTGCATCTAATTACAAATTTGTCGAATGAATGTCAAATTATGTTAGGATGTGTCCTGTAGGTCTTTGTGCTGCGATGTGAATCAAATTAGAGCATCCAAAGCAGAGCATCAAAAGCACAGACTTTGTTGTCCTTCAAACGTGGGTTTGAATTCCAGCTTTGTCACTTGCTGACTATGGGGCTTAGGCCAGGTTGTTCACCACCCAAGCCTCAGTTTCCTCAAGTGTAAACCTACATCCATGTAATAGACTTGTGAGGATTAAATAAGATTATGTATGTAATGCAATTAAGTGTGGCGACTATGGACAATGCATGGCAAGCAGCAGGAGTTGATGTCAGTTGTAATCTTTTAAGTTGTATATTATTTAAGGGTACTGTGTTTTTTTAACGTATTTTAAGATGTACTTTAAGAGAATACATCTTCTGTAATTTGTGTCATTATCTTTGGTCAATACTGTGCCAAGGGTCCATCAGAACAAAATGATTCCTCACGGCTTTAGGGCACACATTTAGTAAAGGTATCCTGGGCCCCAAATTCTTGTAAAATAAAGGAAGGCAGAGCTGAATGTTTTGATGTTCCTCGCTGCTCATGGCAGAAACACCAGATTTAGCCTCACTAAAATGCCAGCTCTGTTTAACAGAGCTCAATGCAGGGGAAAGGTTGCCTTGGAAGAAAAGTTTTCAGCTTAGATGAGTGTTCAAAGAGACTGAAATTACACTGTAGACGTCCCATTCTCCCTTTCACCTACTTCCCCAAACTGTTGAGCTCTGTGTCGTTGGTGACCTTTTCCCTGGCCATGGAGGGCTGGAGACACAATTTTTGGAGACCATCGTGGCAGTTCCGTGACTCAGCCACAGAGAAAGGACTTGAAATGACATGTTGTCTTCCTACTGAGGGCGGCACACTTGGTGATCTATTTCCCTAAACATTTTTGTAAAGAGCCATTTAACCTCACATGGATATTAAGAACACCATTATCACCATAGTGTGTGTGTGTGTGTGTGTCTGTGTGTGTGGCTGGAGGTGGGTGGGTGGGGGGTGTGGTTCATCCAACTGCTATTTTTCTCTCACTCTAAACTTTAAAACATACATACTGATTAATTTGTCAAGTAATAATGATACTTTAGCTTAGGTCTTGGTTAAACTTCCCTCTCTACTTTCCCGAAGAAAATGTACAACCACAACAACGACCAGAAATCTGTCACTAATAATGCGAAACTTTGAGGTTCTTTGTTGTAATAAGAGTTTCTGATACAATAAAGACTTGTTTGAACAACTTCATCTTTGGAGCAAACTGAAGTTGGGTTGTTCTACACTAATGTGCAAAAGGTGTCTTCTAATGTGGCTTAGTGCAGTAGAACAAAGAGCAGATTAGGAGTCACAACACTTTGGTTCTGTTCTTTTCTGACCTCCACCATTCCCTATACGTGTGACCTGGAAGGTTTCTTTACTTTCTTGGACCTCAGTTTTCTTATCTACAAAATGATGGAGTCAGACCAAATCGGCAATTCTCAGGGTGGTCTGTGTGTGTTCATTGTGTATCAGAATTCACCTGGGGGCTTGTTTACACTCTTCTCTCCTGCCCACTGCACTGGATGACCTAGGAGATTCTGATACTGACATCCTATGATTCTCTAAACAAATGGTAAGTGTCTTGTTCTGTTTCATCAGGATTGCATTGACATTAAATAAAAATGTATGTTTTAAAAACCATGCTTTTAAGTGGAATTCCTATTCAGCATTGGATATCCTCTCTAGAAATTAGTTTTAAATTTATCAATTGGTGTTCTAGAAGCTGTTAGTATTATAAAGTGAGAAATACGCTAGCTGGTCAAACAATCTGGTGAGACTAATCAATGTTCTATAACCATACATAAATCATAAAAAGAGCAATTACTTAGGTGTATAAATATTGTAATGCTGCATGCATAGCACTTTTTGATTTATGCATTTCTATATTATTTTCATCTTATAATGAGCATGCAGTATTTATTTGGTCAAGAAAAATAGATACTAAATTTTTCTATGCAAGTTTTAAAAATTATTGCTAGATTCAATCTCATAAGCTTTTTGTTTTGTTTTTACACTCTTACAGTATGTGCTTGCTGAGCCTATTTTAGACAACAGATCCTTGTCTCTAAGTTAATGGTGACATGGAAAGGCAAAAGAATGATTATGGTGTTTGAAAAACCAGCACTCACAAGCCATGTTAAATCTGCTTTAATTATAAGAAAAATCTGCAACTTAAAGAAAATGTTGTTCTGATTTCCCTGATTTTGTTTCTACCTAAACCACCCAATTTCTTCCCCATATGCTTATACCTAATTAAGCTGAGCAGAAATGGACGCAGGTCTCCATCTGCTACGAACAGAAAGACAACACGTATTTCAATGGGTACTCTTAGAAACAGCTAGCCTAATAATGGTTGCTCGCTTTTGACCATTCAAATACCAAATAATTTTAGATAAAAACAAAGACATTTAGATAAAAGAATAAGAACATGTCTTCATCAGGAGATATGTGTAATATAGGAGTTCACCAGAAAATAGGCACCATGAGGACAGGGACCTCATTTGTTCACTGCTTATGTGCCCAGGGCCTAGAATAGCTCATGGCATATAACAGATGCACAATAAATATTTGTTGATGCATAATAAATAAATATTATGTGTTAAGGCAACTTAACACATAAAGGGGCTGTGGAGTGAAAGATGCTATCTTTATATAAAGCCAAATGCAGAAGTTAGTCAAACTTTTTTAGGGTCTAGACAATGACAAACTACCAGCTTCACATATTTATTCCCTGCCTGAATTGACTGCAATTATGGCTTATTCCACCATTATGTGCGTGGGGCTGCTACATTTATGTATATTAATGTGTCATCTTGGCAAGGACCCCACCTAC